TTTTATCCTCTGCTCAAAAGACTAGTCCACACTCTCTGAATGTCTCTCAGTTCTAATTCTGAATTTCCAAGAGAGAGAATCTGATTTCCAAGTGAGGACCTATAGCTTAGATTAAAGAATTTCCACAAAGTCAACAAAGTAGTAAGTGGTAGATAAGGCATTTTTGAATCTAGATCTGTCTGGATCTAAAATCTGATGACCTTCCAGCAAAATACGTGGCCACCAGTGAGATTTTCAGGAGCAACGGCTTTTTGACTCAGTTTAATCTTGTCCTTGTAAGTCCAATTGGGGGCTTGGTAAATTTCTCCTCTCACCCCCTCTATCAACTCCTAGCCAAAAGATCCTCCCTTGCTTACTAATATCTAAAATTCCATCATTAGGAGAGCCATTTCTTTCTTTGGCTTAACATAAGGAGTATTTCAACACTATAGAGTATTTGGCAGGTTACAAAGACCTTACATAATGATCTCATTTTATTTTTATGACAATCCAGTGGCATCAATAGGACAGGGATTATTGACTCCCACTTTTCAGACAAGAAAATGGAAGTTCACAGGGGCAGGGTAACTTGTTCCAGAAGAGAGGTCTGAACTCCCTGGGGAGGCTGTGGATTAGTTGCTTAGGGATCGATGAAGGAAGTCCTTGGTCACACCCCTGTGGGTGGGCAGTGGAAGCTGATCAGTCAGGAGAGAAGCAACGGTGTCACCTCCAAGTGGGCTGAGAATAAAGTATAGACAAAGCCACCTGGTGCCCAACTCTCTTGCTAGACTGGGGGCTTTATGAGGCCAGATGCCTTGTTCTCATTCATCTCTTTGTTCTCAGGTTCTAGCACAGTGCTTGATACACAGTGGACACTTGATAAATGTTTGTTGAAGGAATATGAAACTTTTCTAAAAATGATAACTATCCAATGTGGGAATGAGGTGCCTTGAAGAGTTGTGTGATTCCTAGCACTGGCAGAGTTTAAGAAAAGATGGATAAATAACTGCTTGCTAATATTAATGGCTAACATTTATTATTTACACTGTGATGACTACTGGGCTAATTGCTTTTTTTGCCTGTATTGTATTCCTCACTGCAGCCACACGAAATAGGTTCTATTATTGTCCTTGCTGAAACCAAGGCATGGAGGGGTGAAGTGACTTGCTCAGGAATCCATTGCAAGTAGTATGGCCAGGATTTGAACCCTGGAAGGCTGAGCTAGAGACCTGGATCTCAACCGCATTGTCAAAGGGTTTCCTAGATGAGACAGGAGTTTGAAGTAGATCATCTCTCAAATCTTTTCCAACTTTAAGATTCACTGGTAGTTTGGCCAGAAGATTGGTGCTACCACACAGAGAAAGCTGGGGAGGAGAACTAGTTGTAGGATGTAGGGTAGAGGGGTAGGTAAAGAACAAGATTTTGATTGTTTGATATGAGGTGTCAGAGGATATCCAAATGAAAAAGTCCAATGACATTATTTATCATCTTCAAGGAACAGATAATTCTATGTGTGATACTGCCATGAAAAGCTCTCCCAACACAATCTGTCATAAACATCAATGTCTGGTTGTACCTGTTGGGGTACTCACGGCTCCCAGTATTCTTCTATCACAGCTTCATATTGTGTTATTGATCATACACAACTTTGTGAGATTAGCAACATTCTCTTTTAGAAAAAAATTGAATATTACTCTGATTGTCTTTTATCAGAAATTTCGTTAGATAAGGGCCAGCCTGGGGCTCACTTGGGAGAGTGTGGTGCTGATAACACCAAGGCCATGGGTTCAGATCCCATATAGGGATGGCTGGTTTGCTCACTTGGGAGAGCGTGGTGCTGACAACACCAAGTCAAGGGTTAAGATCCCCTTACTGGTCATCTTTTTTAAAAAAAGAAATTTCGTTAGATAAGGGCCAGCCTGGGGCTCACTTGGGAGAGTGTGGTGCTGATAACACCAAGGCCATGGGTTCAGATCCCATATAGGGATGGCTGGTTTGCTCACTTGGGAGAGCGTGGTGCTGACAACACCAAGTCAAGGGTTAAGATCCCCTTACTGGTCATCTTTTTTAAAAAAAGAAATTTCGTTAGATAAAATGTAGGCAATGTCAAAACTGAAAACCACAAAGAAATGTCTGCTACACAACAAAAAGAAAATAGGCAAACAATATATTTTAAGGCTTAAGGAGTTCTATTTGAATATGTCACTGTAAACTTTCTTTAAAAAAACAACAAACAAATAGCATTTGAAAATTATTCTGAAATTTAGCATTTTGTATCATCACCATTCTTGGCATAAAACAAAAATTGCAACCTTGTTAAGAAAGCAACACAACCTAAAACATAAGAAATTATTTGATTAAATAACAGCAACAGTATGGACTTCTGATAAACGTTAGTCTCATTCTTTCCCCCCCTTTGGTTCCTTAGTAAACTGCTCAGATACAGAGGAAATTCACTCCCTCATTCAATTAAACACATTCAAGTACTGTCTACCTGGGCCACTAGGTACAGATGTATATAGATTGTTCCCTGAAGGGAGAGTGGGGGCTGAATTCCAGCTCATCAGCACTCCTCAAGCTGGGTGTCCTCTTTTTCTAATTTACATAAAGATGCTACATGTATTTAAGACCTGGTGTGTGTTTCAGAAATAACAAACTTGGACTCTGCCTGCTTGGAGCTTGTGTCTGATGGGGAAACAGTCAAGTAACAATACACATAATTAATACTATTTTAAAGAAGGCACTATAAGAACACAGAAGAAAGAAATTAAAATCAGACAAATTGGGTGTCCAGGATCTGTGACTTAAAGGATGAGGGAGCGATTGTAGGGAAGGATGTTCCAGGCAGAGGAGTGATAGTCAAAGATTTATCTATTTATTCATTTAGTAAATAGTAATTGTAAATCTATAAGTGCCATGTACTGTTACAGTACTGAAGATATAGCAGTGAATAAAACAGACAGGAATTCTTTTCTCATAGTTCTATCATTCTAGTAGGGGAGAGAGACAATAACGATTGAACTAGAAAATATTAGGTAGTGAGATGGGCTCTGGAAGAATAATATAAGCAGGTGTTAGTGGTGGTGGTAGTGGTGGGTGGGGTGAGGATGCTACATTAAAATAAAGAGTGGGAAGTTTTCTGCAGAGAAGTGTCATTTAAGCTGAGATCTGAATGGCACTTGTAATTTGTATAATATTTGTAATATTTCTTCCTACTATTTGCAATTATATTTGGTGACTCAATGTTTGGAGTCTTCTAATTTCTTTAGACATGCTGCAAAACAGTATGTTGAGTTGAAGACCACTGTCTCATGAGGAGTATGGCTAAATCTTTCTGATACTTGTATTGATCTGGAGCTAAACTGTAGACATCAAACTGTAGTAAGGTGATTTTATCAAAAATACCCCTCAGAATTCATTATGCTGAAAGTTATACTCCATGTATGTAGTGATACATAGTTTCTCCCTTTCCTTGATCCTGAAAAATCTAGTCGACAATTATTTCTTAAATGTTCATTTAACATATATTAATTCTTGATTCTCTCTAATTACAAATATAACATTTTTTTTTTTTTTTGCAGTTTACTGGTCAGGGAAAAATATAACATTTCTTTTTGTGCCATGAGGGATACAGAGACAGATGCGCTCACAAATAAATGTAAAACAAGTATGTATATGATGTGGTAGGCTGTGGCTAGGCCTGCCCAAGAAAAGCCTCTAAGTGGATGTGAGTGGATGCAGAAAAAAAAAGCCTGCCCCAAATGCAAGCAAAGCACACGTTTCAGGTGTGGAACCTGGACATTAGGCCTAGGTGATGTGGCTCACAGGGTAACAAAATTATTGCCTTATGTAAAGTATAAGTTATCTCTGGATGATGAAGAGCCTGGGGTTATAAAAGGTATTGAGTCAACAATTCTATGCTCCTCCAACCTGGAGACATCTCATTCCCTGTGGGCCAACGCCACTGAATTGCAGATGTGCTGCCACCAGATACAAAGAAATCAATGGTAGCTGCTTCCACCAACCTCCATCGTATCTGTGTTTACTTGCTGCTTCAGGATTAAACAAAGTAAAAGCAACTCTGAAATGTTGCTCTTTAAATAGTGTCTTTGAATTGGCTGCGTGGGGATGTAATAAGTGCCATTAGAGCATTACAAGGAGTGATAGAGTTGTGAGGAGGAAGTAACAATTCTGGCTGGAGGCTTCATGAAAGTGGCAGCATTTGAGCTAGATCTTGAAAGATGGGTAAAACTTTTAAGGTGAAGATGGAAAGAAGGGCATTGCAAGAACAAGAAACAATATGAATGATGAAAGGGATGTAGGAGTGTACCGGAAAGGAAGAGCAGTCCCGTTGGCTGAGGAATAAGGCATGTATGGGGAAGCAGTAAAAGATGAGGCTGGGAAGGGAGTCAGGGCAGGCTAAGAGGGTTGGCATTTAATGCATTAGTAATGGGAACCATGGAATGTTTCTGAGCAACTTTAATAGTAGATGTATTAGTAAAACGGGGGATACACAAACAAATCTGCCAGCTTTACTGTGCATGAGACATGGACGAAAAGACTGGGAGCTCACTTAAAATGCCGAGGCATGAACTGACGACATGCTTGATTGGAGAACAGGACATGAATTTAGATTCATTGCTTTGGGGAGGGTCTAAAGGGAGGAACTGTGTACGAATTTTAGTTTTGCAATCTGAACATATGTGAATAGTACAGTGAACACCCAAAGGGAAGACAGGAAGAGGGAAACATAGTATTTCTTTTAGAGATGTTGGGTTGAGGTGCAAGTGGAACATTCAGGTGGAAATGTGCTACATCAGTTGAAAATGAGAGAATGGAGCTCAGGTGAGAGGTGGATGAGTCACCTACATTGAGGTGAGTCAGTGAGTTTGGTCTGTCATAAGCATAGTATAAGAACCTAATAACAAGTCCTAAACACATGACAAATTTGTAACAAGGAAGACAGATATCTAGGAGCACCTGAGTAAAAACAAAAACAAAAAGCACTGTGATTATTGACATTTATAGCTCATGTTTGTTTTACCAGCTGTTAAGTTCTCAAAAACTCTTTTCCCAAATTGACCTCCTAAGTGGCAGGTAAAATTGTCAAAGGACACATTCTTGTGTAGAAACCCATGACACTGAATCGCCAGCTATTTCATGTCTAGAATATGAGATATGCATGATCTACACAACTAAGTAGATGAAAGCACACCTTTTTTAGGGGTTCGGGGGTGCATAGCCCTGGACCACAGTTCAATGAGAAGTATTGATCACTAAACTAACTCAACAACTAAAACCATGGAAATGTTCCCAAGGAGGGGTATGGCTGTGCTTGGGCAGAAGCCGCAGGGAAGAGTGGAAAGGTTAACACGAGCAGCCAGAGAAACAGGAGCAAAGGCGATTGCGTAGCTCCAAGTTGAAAGCTGACTCTCATCATCGGGCATACCTACGCCATTGCTCATCACCCGTGACTACCTCTGTCAATTCCAAGGCGGGGAAGGGGAGGGGTCACGAGAAGGGAAGCAAGTGGGCAGAAAAGCCGGTTGAGAGGAGCCAGGAGGCTGGGAGCCAGGAGGCCGGCGGGGACTACATTTCCCAGAATCCAATGCGGCGCGAAGCCTCGTTCCCGGGGCGCGGATAGAAGACTTGCGGCATGGGATTGGTAGTCAGAAGGCATGCGCCGCCCGAAGTAGGACTCTGGTGGGGAGATGTGCAGAGATTGGCTAGTGAGAGTCCGAGTCCCGCCCACATGTGGTGACGACAGGCGGCGGTCTTGCTACTTAAGGCGTCGTGGCCTCGACCGCCCCGCCTTAGCTCCCGCGCTAGAGAGAAACATGTATCGTTTCCGATCACAGCTCTTCACGGGGATTTCTGCTGCCGCCACCGCCCACTCTTACCCCCGCCGCTTCTCGCCTCTGTTGTTAGCCGAAGACTCGCCTCTCAGCCGCCCGCCGCACAGACGCACTAGTAAAAAGTGCAGCTCCATCGGCTGATCCTCGCTAAGCTCCGAGTTTAGGCGGCACCGGGCGTCCCACGATGCCGAAGAATAAGAAGCGGAACCCTCCCCACCGCGGTGGCAGTGGTGGCGGCGGCAGCTCAGGGGCAGCTGCAGCGACGGCGGCGACAGCAGGTAAGGGGGTACCCCCGCCGCCGGTATCCCGGCTGCCGTCTTGGGCACGGTGGGAGTTGTAGTTCTGCCTCGCCTTCAGAAGTTTGCGTCTCCAGGGCGCGTGGTTTTGCTGGCGAACTACAGTTCCCAGCGTGCCCTGGGCGCCGTGCCTCGCGTGATTTGGATCTGGATTGTGAACGGGACTCCTGGGACGGTCGTGGGGCGGGGAGGAATGGGTCTCTTGGCCCGAGTGTGTGTCGTGATAGGGGGTGATCTGGAGCCGGGCGGGAGAGGAGCTGTCCTCAGAGGTTGCTGCGAGCTCTCCCAAACTTTTCCTGACCAAGGGTGGGACAGAGCTCGGAGTTGCGTCCATGCTGTCACTGACCGCCACTGACCCTCCTCCCCCACTCCCCGGCTCCGACGTGGAGTTCTCGGGAATGCCAAATGTCCGGCGGGTTTGGAAGGGCTCTTGCGTCACGCGGCCTGGGCCTTGCGCCATAGGGCCGGGGTGACGCAGAGGCGCCCGAGTGGCTGCCCATCCTGCTGTCTTCTTTCGCGTCCGGCGTGCCTACCTGGCCGGGCGAAGGCATCGGAGACTGGGGGGGCCTCTGCCCCACCCTAGCTAGGCTCTACTCCTACCCTAACTGGCACCCGCAGAAGCTCCGGCCCCCAGCTCCACTGCGACCAGCCAAGGCGACCCCCTGCTCCCCGTAGCAAAAACCACGTTCTCCTTTGTGCTGCATTCTATAGGTTCTCCGCAGCCAGCCCCGGATTGGTAGGGGTGGTGAGGAGCTCAGGTCGCCGTTGGCTAAAAGTTTAGGGTTTTAGTGTCTTCACTGTGAAGTTGAAGCTTTTCCTAGATGGGTAGGTGCTTAACTGAGTTTATGGTTCTCTACTTACTAACCATACAGTTAAGAAAAGGACTCCAACCGGAAGGTCATTCCACGAGACACCACACTTCATTCAAATAGAGTATTAAAGCAAACTGGGTAAAATCATCTCATTTAGTAATTGTTTTGTTGAGATCATAAAGTTAAATATTGGAATGCCCTTAGACGTTTATCACATCGGAGCTAATATTAGCCATCAGGTATTTGTTGACACAATTGCCACTCTTTGCCCCTGAGACTGTGATGTGCCTTAGTTCATTAGAAAAGTAAATATGTCAATTATCTTGTTAAAGATTACTGGAAACCGGCATTTAAAAAGCTTTCCTATCGGGTTGATGGCAGCACGAAAGCTTGATATTGTGTATTAAACACTTAATTATTGATAATAGAAATGGATTATTATAAATGCAATTTTCTTTCTTTAGATCACTATTTATTTTGATTGAATGCTCTTGATGTTTATAAAACTCATTCTTTGCCAAGATGTAAAATATATAGTTTGTTGAAGCATCTTGTTACTCTGTGTGAACTGAGGATACCTCTTACCTCTGCGCTTCAGCTTTAACTCATTTGAAGTAAACATTCGAATTTTGTCTAGAAGATCCTTATTAATTTTATTCTTAAAGTTTACCTTTTGTTGGGCCAGCCCGGTGGCGCACTGCTACAGTGCGCTGCTTGGGAGCACGGCGGCGCTCCCGCGGAGGGTTCGGATCCCACATACAGACCGGTTCCCGCTCACTGGCTGAGCGAGGCGCAGGAGCAACACCAAGGGTTGCGATCCCGTTGCCGGACACGAAAAAAGACAAAAAAAAAAGTTTACCTTTTGTTGACGAAATGGAAATAATGGAGAATCAGCAATCTAAAGTCATTTTGAAAATGATAATAATGTTAGTAATGGCCTCCTTGAATAAACCTTTAAGCCCTTTTGAAGCTCCCTGGCAAGCCTCCTTCCTTCCTTGTACTTACAGTGTAGGCCTCCCGTGGCTGTTGAGGATTCCCTTTCAAATTTTGCCTCAAGGCTCATTGTGACTTTTCATTAGCCATATTGCTGCTGCCTTTGCAATTATTTTTAGTAGAAAAGATACATTTAAACACTGAATTTTACCACATAAAAACATTTAACTCTGATTTTTTAGCATATATAAGCAAATGAAAAATAATTCTTTGGCTAGTTTATAAAACTATACATGCTTTGAATGTTTTTGGAAGTTTACACTAGAACTTACCTGTGATTTCCTCTTGGAAGTAGAACTGGGGAAAGATGCAGGAGAGATTTATTTTTTTGTAACTTTACCTTGAATCCCATATGAATGTTCTACTTATTTGATAAATAATGAATAAATGATAGTTGAGTAGAAGAGATGGAAAAATGTCCCAAACTTTTGCTTGTTTACAAGCCACTTAACTTTACTGGTATTCTTTAATGGCATCTAGAAGAAATGGGATTTATATGAGGTCTCCACTATATAACGAAACAGATAACCAACTTGTCTTTATCACTATAATGGGTTTTCCATTTAAACTTTGTTTTTTAAGTTATTGGAGAGTTCTAGGAAGCTAATGAGATTGATATCTATGCATACCTCTGTCATAGCACTTAATTTGAAGAGAGCATTTTTAAGAAAGAATAACACCTTATTAGTAAGACCTCTAGAAATAAGGACTTTATGGTGCCACCTCATGAATGGTACTTAGGATCACAAAGTGCATGAGTTTGAGCTAGATAGCAGGCATTCATACAGAGTTCTTTTTTTTGATTCTTTCTGTTGAGTCTTGGTAAGAAGTCATTAAAACTGATCAGTTAAGAGAAGGGAGCTGAGTAAGAGCTGCACTTAGAAATAGGCTGAATATGGAAAATAGAAGATGTAAATTGACTTGTGAGTAAATGTTAAAAAAATTAATCAGATGACACTCAACTATTCCATGACTTCAACCCAGACAGACAATGAAGGTAGACCTCAAAATGGAATATGATGTGATAGATCTTTATTTGTTCATTTCTTTCCTAAACACTCATGAACACATTTTGGGATCTTGTCTTCATTACTTATTCTTTATGCTTTACTGCTTTGATTGGCACTACTTTGGTACTAAGCAAGCACATTTGAAGGCTACTTGCTTGCTATGTTAATTTTAAGAATCTGCTAAGTTCTCTATTTTGATTTAAAAAAAAAAACCATTAAAAAAGAACAAGCTTCAATTTAGGATTAAAAAAAACTTAAGGTAGTAAATGACACAACTTGTTTTGAATGTAGGGAGCTAGTGATATTTGGTGCAATCTTTGATTTTACTGGTAAGGGAAATTGGGCTCACAGTTAAATCGAGTGACTCAGGGTCACTTTGGGGCAGAATCTGAGACTTATTTTAACCCTGTCCTCAGTGTAATTCATGATTGCGCAATCTTTTCATTGATACAATGTCCCTAAGTGATTATGCATTTATTCCTTAAATTAATGAAGTTGAGAGAAAGATTCTAGTTTAAAAAAAGATTTTTTTTTTTTTTTTTTTTAGTAATAGCATTGATATTTGTAAACTCTTGAAACATTTCTTTTATTTTTTATTTTTTATTTTTTTTGTCTTTTTTTTTTTTTCGTGACCGGCAACGGATCGCAACCCTCAGTGTCGCGCCCGTACCGGACCGGGACCAGCAACAGGATTGCAACCCTCGGTGCTGCGTCCGCACCTCACTCAGCCAGTGAGCGGCCGGTCTGTATGTGGGATCCGAACCCTCGGCGGGAGTGCCGCTGCGCTCCCAAGCGGCGCACTGTAGCAGTGCGCCACCGGGCCGGCCCGAAACATTTCTTTTAAAGATAATTTCTCTAACAGGCTTTTATACTATATCAAGTACCAAAACTTCCACTTTAAGCCTTTTTTTCTTTTAATTCAGGTTATATTTAACTCCTTAATTCCTCTTCACATTAGTGTAACCTAAAAACCCATTCAGCAGTTAATGTTTACTAAGCCCATTCATTCTTATTGGAAAATATTTTTGTCTTGTTCTTATGATGATCCATACATGATACTCTTTCTGGATTTATTTTCATTGTCTTCATGATTTATATTGATGGTTTGAAGGTAATTTTTCATCTTATCAGTTTTTGTACCATCAAAAACTGGTGCCTCATGTTAGGTGATTGATACATTTCTGAAGTTGATGTACATTATAAGTCATTGGTGCTCTGAAATACATGTTAGGTGAGTTGGCTTATTTTAGAACTATTTAAATATGCTCTTTTGTGATATAATCATCTCTTTTTAAAAAATAAGTTTGAGGGGGCTGCCCAGTTAGCTCAGTTGGTTAGGATGTGATGCTAATAATACCACATTCATAGGTTCAATCCCTGTACTAGCCAGTTGTGCCCACCCACCCCCTGCAAAAACAAAACAAAACAAAAGTTTGGGCTTTTATTACTGGATTTGTCTCAAGTAAATATTTGCATATATGACAACAAAGTCATCCACCTTTTTTCTCTTTTACCTAATAGGTGGCCAGCATCGAAATGTTCAACCTTTTAGTGATGAGGATGCATCGATTGAAACAATGAGCCATTGCAGTGGTTACAGCGATCCTTCGAGTTTTACTGAAGATGGTATGAGTTTTAAATTTAAAATTGCAACTTTAGATAAAAAGATGTTTTAGATGGAGGAATTCTTGTAGCTAAGGTATGTCATTACTCGTTGCCTATCTGCTTTGTTTCTACATTAATTACAGTGGTTGGTTTATATTATTCCTTAGGACCAGAAATCCTTGATGAGGAAGGAACTCAAGAAGACTTAGAGTACAAATTGAAGGGATTAATTGACTTAACCCTGGATAAGAGGTAGGAGATATTGGAAGCTCTTTATTCTGGGTGATTCCAATCAGCCACTTTACATATATAATTTGTGTGGTTCCCTGATATAGCAGTATGTTTTTCCTAAAGCTTGACTTGTTTACTTTGGATGATTTAATGTTTCTTGTTCCGTTGGATATTTAATATGTATAGTAACATGCCACTAGAATTTAGATTAATTCAGGTTAGTCATTGTTCTAGCATAATAGCATATATATAACTGTATTTGATTATAATTCAAGTAGGTTTGTTGGATTAAAAGTTTATCTTTAAGGCCGGCCCGTGGCTCACTCGATAGAGTGCAGTGCTGATAACACCAAGGCCGCGGGTTCGGATCCTATATAGGGATAGCCGGTTTGCTCACTGGCTGAGTGTGGTGCTGACAACACCAAGCCAAGGGTTGAGGTCCCCTTACCGGTCATCTTTTAAAAAAAAAAGTTTATCTTTAACTAGAAATGACAACTAAACTTTGCTTTAAGCCACTTGTCTGTTAATTTTGTTATGGACATAGAAATGTCAAAGATAAATTGTTTTCTTCATAGCAACTCTAGAACTGATGTAACCAAAGGGAATTAAAAAGCCCAGAAGATGCAAACATGAATTCTAGACGTTTGTAGTGTTAAAAATGTGAGTTTCGTTAAATACGTAACATAGGAGAACATGTATGTTGAAACTATAAAGTATTATATAATTATTTAAAGTTGTGGCTGTCAAACTCAAACAGAAAAATGCTATGATGTAAAGCACAGCTTAAAAATCTTTTATATAGTAAGGTGAGTTGAGATGTGGATGAAAGTTAAATTATGTTATTGAAAAGTAGTTAGAGCTTAATGACAATTAGATTTAAAACTATTGATAGAAAAACTTAAGAAGGAAATAAACTATGTTTTTAAGTCCTTGACTTATGGTACACTCCAACTGGATCTTCTTTCTCTTACATTTTGTTTTAAACAGTGCGAAGACAAGGCAGGCAGCTCTTGAAGGTATTAAAAGTGCACTGGCTTCAAAAATGCTTTATGAATTTATTCTGGAAAGAAGAATGACTTTAACTGATAGCATTGAGCGCTGCCTGAAAAAAGGTAACACCCTTATTTTTGAGTCACAGGCATGGAACTTATAAGGAATTTATTACCTTCTTTGCAATAACATTTGCTTATGGCAGTAGAACACTGGCCCACTCTTACAACTTTATAATAATCAAGGACTACACCATGCTTGTTATAACTCAAAATGAGACTTCTTAGAAACTTTGTTTTCGTTTATGTAATAAGCAGATTGAAACTAGGAAGGATTGGGGTGGATTGTCGCTTTTGTTGTATCAAAAAAACTGATTGCCATCCTCTTGTTACATCGAAAAGGCTTGAAAATGTGTCAGATGTCAATATAATGTATTTAAAAAGCCACCCTACTTCATTTTTCTAAAATTGAGAAAGTATAATCATCTAGCTCATTTTCCTTTGCACTTATTTAAAACGTGGATTTTACCTGTAGATGACATCATTTTCAGGATATCCCTTGAAATATCTGAATTCTAGAACTTTCTAGTAGAAATTCTGGAATTCATGTTGTTATAATGATAGAACTTGTAAGGATAAAGAGAGACCTTAAAGATTAAGTCTAGTGTCACCAGACTTTTCAGTTTTAGGAACCACCAAAATTAAAAAGATTTGCATCTGTTAGTTATTTTGCCAAGTAAGAACATTATGAAAATAATTACATTTTACTACCATTATCACTTTAACAATATTTCTAGCATCAAAAATGTAGGAAGCACAAGTTTCTTTAGATTGAATGAACCTTATGTCCATATTTTTCTTATTTTGCCTCAAGGTGAAATGTTATGAATGAAATCAGTGATCAAATCCACCCCTTCATTGTACAGAAAGGCCTAGGAAAAGTGAGACGGGGCTAAACTTACATAACTTGTTAGTGGGGTATTTCAACTTTTTTGAAATATCATAATGGCCTTGTTGAAGGTGTTTAACATTGAAATTGACTCCCATAATGCTAGTTGGACTAAGTGACCTTTAAAAATTCCATTCCATTCTGCATGTTTTATTTTTAATTTATCAGGTAATAATTTAAGTTCAGTATTTACCCAAACCCTTTGGTGTATACAATTCTCAAAAAAAGTGAATTTTACACTTGTCTTTATGTAAATGTATTTTCTGTGGTTTTAAAGAATCCCTCATTTTTAGTCCCTTATTTATTTAAAAAAAATTTGGAAGGGAAACCCTGAAGCGTTACCTCATGGGCCGTGTGCATCTGAAATGTTTAGGAGATTGAATCAAGGGCTACTGGAGCACTATTCCTATGAGTCCATTAAGGAGTTAAAAGGCAGAAATCGGCAAAAAACATTATTTTGTTGAACCATTACAGTACTCTTTTAAGATAGGTATTAATCTCCATTTTACAGATGAGGAAATCTTTTTGGAGAATAACGGTAATTAATTGAAGGTTATTAGCCAGTAAGTGTCAGATCTAGGATTTGAGTGAGGTCTGTTTATGAAGTTTGAGCTCTTTAACTTCACTAAGTTTATATGTTGAAATTGAGAGCATAGTAATGGTTTCGTAAATGGTAGATTATTTTGTAATTCTCTTAAGAGTTTAGGAGAAATTTGGGAAATTGCTATATTTGTAAGTTGGACTACTGAAGATAATTTGTCATGATGCCTCTTTCTTCTTTTCCAGGGAAAAGTGATGAGCAACGTGCAGCTGCAGCATTAGCATCTGTTCTTTGTATTCAGTTGGGCCCTGGAATTGAAAGTGAAGAGATTTTAAAAACTCTTGGACCAATCCTAAAGAAAATAATTTGTGATGGGACAGCTAGTATCCAGGCGAGGCAAACTGTGAGTGTAAGATTTTTAAATTTACAGATCTATCTAGGCATGATGCCCAGACATAAGTAGTAGGTTTTTATTGATATTTATTCTCATCTGTCTTTAATTTTAGTGAGCAGACTTAATATGACAGTTGTTTTCTTAAATTTTCTGAGACTCTACAGAGCATCCCATATAGAACAAACTTCTAAGTCTTTGAAATTGAAGGACACATACTGATAATAAATATTATTGAGTTACTTAGGATGATTGTAGAATAATTTTGATTGGAACTTAAGGAAATGGTCTAGACACTTAATGTTTATTGGGTGGTTATTTTTTATTCTAAGAAATGTAATGGTTTTTGTTTTTGTTTTTTGCTTTTTTTTTGGCTGCTGTGGCCTATCATAAGTTTTTATGAAAAAGCTGAATGCTGTATTTACGTGGGTGGATTTGGGTAGATGTGGGAAACTCTGAAACTGACTTGTGAAATATTCATTTACTTCTGGAATTTGAGAAAACTTTTATTTCCTAATTATTTGATCCTTACCATTTATAATACTTGACTTTAGATTTTGGATTTTTGCTTTTGTTTTTGTTGCACTAAGAAGTGATTTAAATGATCATGTGAACATGAAACATATGAAGTGGTCTTAGTTTGTTTGGGAAATAATATGTGAATCTTAAGCTGTTTTCCTAACAAGGGAACCAGTTCAAGTTTGAAACTTTTTAGTACTGATTATTCAAATTAGCTTTTTCTTTAGCATTATAAGGTAAGTGACATTAATCTTTGTATCAGATAAACCCTGAAGTCTTTGCAGCTTAATAAAAGTTTATCTCTTGCTCATATCACCACTCAGTGCCAGTTGGCAGGAACCCTAGGCCTCTATCGTGCAGCTCTGTCACATCTCCAGATTCTCTCCATACGGCAGCGAGGGTAGCAAGATGGGGAGGGCATGAGGACAGAGGCTCAGGCCAGAGCTCATCGCCTCTGCATCCAGTTCCTTGGTTTACTAACTGTGCAGAGGCTGGGAATAGCCTAACTGCGCCAAAGGCAAAGAAATAGGAGTTTGGCAACTTCATAGTATTCTCTGTACCCTCCAGTAATTAGTAGTCCTAAAGTATTTAGTTAGCTTTTGCTATTTATCTGTTTCCCCCTTTTTGTGTAACTTTTAAATTGTGTAGGACTGTTGGGCATATTTCTGAAATCTTAGAAAGATGGAAAACACTCTGCTGGGTAGGTATTTGGAGTGGCCACTTAATTTTGGTTGCATGTGACTTTGTTGTCATATTTCTGACTTGCAGAGACTTTTTTTTTTTTTGATGGCTGGCCAGTACAGGGATTGAAACCTGGACCTTGGTGTCATGCTCTAACCAACTGAGCTAACCAGCCAGCCCAGGATTTTTTTTTTTTTAAACTTATAAGTCTTCACATTAACACATGAAATACATATTAAATGTAACCAGCCCAAATTTTTATTTTGCCATTTCTCTTAGAGTCATCAAAAGGGGAGATGTGGACTTGCTTCTGCTGCTTGCTTAGGAGAAGGGATTACAGGTTGAATTTTTTTTTCTGAGAATAATGCTTAGGCTACTTTTTAATTTTAATAATGTCCAATTTTTACCAGGATGAAATAATGAAAATAAAATAGTGACACCAAACAGATGAATATCACAAACATTCTCACAGTACTGGAACAGAACTAGCTGAAAGCTGGGCAATGATGCCTGTGGTGACTTTGAAGACTTAAAGCTTTAATGGTACTTGGAACAACATGGGGGAATCCTAGTGATAAAATATGGAGAAAAGGGAAATGGAGAATAATAAAACCTCCGATTACAGATTCTGTTTTGATGGCTGCTGTTTATGTTTACGTTGTAAGCAGATTATTTGCATAAGTATTGCTTTCTGAGTGTATTTTATTAGGTGAGCATTACTTTTGTAACCCTTTTTTCATCAACAAAAAGCAATTGTAGGATTCCTAACCTCTTTTCAAAATATTCCAAAATGAATAAAATCTGAATTCATGAGATCCTTCTTTAGGTGGGAATTTTACGGATGATTACTTAAATTTTATGAGATTTCTGCTCCTGTGTTCTTATTTCTTGGAAGCTGATTTCTTTAAGAAGTTTTCAAAGTAGAGTCTTCATAAAAACAAATGAATATAAATGGTTTTAAAAGCATAAAACCCAATATTAATCTTAATGTGTTTTAAAGGTTTTTAAGAGAGAAAGTGGGGTTTCTTTATGTTAAGTGTCCAAGCTTCATCTCTATCTTTGAATTATAGTTGAAGTTTGATCTGTTAGGCAGTTGCACTGCATATAAAAAGGAAATGAGGGGATAATTACTAGTTAGTTCGCACTTTTAAAATGCTTTGCTCATGTAGAGTAAGAAAAATAATTCAGTAATTTAAATCATAGACTATGGAGCTGGAATGGATTTAGAAATTATGTAGTTCATTTGCATACACTATTTCCTCTGATTTTATGGATTAATAAAGGAAGACCCAAGAGGAACAGAGTCACTTTCCTAAAGTCATACTGTGAATTTGGTAGCAGAGCTTGTGCTGAAACCCATCTCCCTTGACTCAATATTCGATATTCTTTCTCTACCACCCTATCTTTATATACTGTGCTTGGGACCTTATGGTAATATAGTTGAGAAAATTTTCGCATTGAATTATAAGAACAGGAACATGTAGAATTAATAAGAAATAAAATTAGAAACATTAATATCTGTGTGTTTTTTTTTGTTTGTTTTTTTAGTGTGCAACTTGCTTTGGGGTTTGCTGTTTTATTGCCACAGATGATATTACTGTAAGTAGAAAACCTTTGACTCCAGTTATCTGCAGTTATTTTTTTCTAATTTAAGATGGTTATCTCAGTTCATATTCTTGTGAATTAGGAGCTGTATTCAACTCTGGAATGTTTGGAAAATATCTTCACCAAGTCTTATCTCAAGGAGAAAGACACTAATGTTATTTGCAGCACCCCTAATATATTGCTTCATATCAGCTCACTTCTCGCATGGACGTTATTACTGACCATATGCCCAATCAGTGAAGTGAAGAAAAAGCTTGAGATGTATGTATTTTTAGTTTCATGTTTTATAAAAGCAACATTTAGTTGACATAACTGGTTACATTCACATAGTAATGACTAACTATTTTTTAGGCATTTCCATAAACTTCCAAGCCTCCTTTCTTGTGATGATGTAAACATGAGAATAGCTGCTGGTGAATCTTTGGCACTTCTGTTTGAATTGGCCAGAGGAATGGAGAGTGTGAGTATCTAATTGGCAGAGAAAAACGATTCTGCCATGAGAACCATTATTCCATCGTTATCTTCACAATTAAGATTAGGTAATAACTTTGGAGCATGACCAGCTTGAGCACCTAGTGATTGATTACCCTGTTTCTTGGCAGTGGTGATATAATACTTTCGAGAGCACAAACCAGTAGGGGTTGGTAGCAGTTTTTGAGTGTAGATCATTATACTTAATTTTTGTTATCTGTAGAATTGAAGTTTAGGGATGCTCTACTACTCATGGAGAGAGTTGTGTTTAGTATAATCCATATGGAACTGCTTGGATTTCTCCAATACCCGACACATTACAGTAATTCAAGAGTGTGATGCTTTATAATAAATATTAGACAAATGGATGAAATATTAATAGGTGTGAGATGAGATGAATTAAGTCACTGTTGTTTAACTTCTCTAAGCCAAAGATGGAAACAAACATTACCCTTTAGACTGGGCGTGTACTTTGCTGTTCAACATTCACTGTCCATTCGGGGAAACTTCTTGTCTCAGACAAACTGGGACATTTGGTAGCCCTAGTTTATGATCTCTATTCTAAGCATTGCTGAAAGAAAGGAATGGTTCAAATTGGCTGGAAGAGGGAATTTGTTCTTAGATGTGTGGTTCCAATAGTGGGCTGATATTTAGAATTGAGGAGTAGCTTTTACTGCCTTCGTATTGAATCTGTAGGCATTTATTGTCATGGTGACAAATGCTGGAAGGATTCAGTGAAGAAACCCACGTATATGGGAAATGTGTAACTAAATAAGATATGCTATTGCTAATCTTGAGTTACTTACTAGATGCTTTTTTTTTTTTTTTTTGTCTTTTGTCTTTTTCCGTGTCCGGCAACGGATCGCAACCCTCAGTGTCGCGCCCGTACCGGACCGGGGCCCGGCAACGGGATCGCACCCCTCGGTGTTGCTCCGGCGCCTCGCTCAGCCAGTGAGCGGGAACCGGTCTGTATGTGGGATCCGACCCCTCGGGCGGGAGCGCCGCTGCGCGTCCCAAGCGGCGCACTATCCAGGGCGCCACCGGGCCGGCCCATTACTAGATGCTTTTTTTTTTTTTTTGTCTCTTTTCTTTTTCCGGGTCCGGCAACGGATCGCAACCCTCAGTGTCGCGCCCGTACCGGACCGGGGCCCGGCAACGGGATCGCACCCCTCGGTGTTGCTCCGGCGCCTCGCTCAGCCAGTGAGCGGGAACCGGTCTGTATGTGGGATCCGACCCCTCGGGCGGGAGCGCCGCTGCGCTTCCCAAGCGGCGCACTATCCAGTGCGCCACCGGGCCGGCCCATTACTAGATGCTTTTTAATTTAAGGAGAAAGACTGTAATTACAGAATAAAACTTTCTGCAATTAAAGAAGTTATTTAACAGCGAATAATTCCAAAAAAGCTTAGCACAGTGTTCTGGTATGTCTGCCATATTTAGCCAGGTTTAGGCTCTTAAAATTTATGTGTGAAGTGTCTGTCTCTGGCACCCCTCACCTTTTATTTTTTTGAAGGCTAGCAGGTAGGAATGGAAAATAAGTTAATGCTGTCAGTAGCTAATGATTCTCCTTATGTGACAAATTGGACTAAAATTTAGCAATCAATTGAATTTTATTGAGCTTGTTAATGGCTCCTTAACCTCAAGGCATAAAAACCAAATGTCTCGATTTTTAATCTTTTGTTCCTCTTCTGGACAGAAATGGTAATTTCTCTTTTTTTCCTTTGAAATACGTCATAAAAGTGAAGTAGTACTTAAATTTGTGTAAACATAACATATTATCACTCACATTTCTTTTGCTCTCCGACTGAATAAATCATATGGGATAGCCAACTCATCCAAACATGTTTAATTTTACTGAAATCCTTGCCCACGGACAAAAATGAACTGGGTTATAAAACAGGACTTAATGTTTTGTTTGCTATTTTTTTCTTTTTAAGCAAGTTAGCTTTTTAAGTGTGTGTGTTGGTAATAGTGGTGGTGGAATAGTTATAGGGTATTCAAAAATTAATTAAATCAGGGTGTTAATGAAATACATATGAATTTTAAAAATAGAGTTTTGTAGCAAAGGAATGGCATTGAATTATCAGAGTCTTTTGTTAACATAATTACTACCTGGAATCTAGTAGTGTGGTGAATTCTACGTGGGAGACTTAGAAAAAAACTTCTGAAGAACTGACTTTTAGGTTGGATTTTAAAGAATGAGTTGGTTAAATGTTAGTAATAGCTATTTGTTCAGAGTTGAAATTAGAAATTACTAATCTTTTGTGAGAGCTCTCCTAGCTTACTGTATGTATTTGCCGTGCAACCAAGTAGATAAGAGTGGACTCGGGAGCTGTACTGCCTAGGTTCAGATCTCTCTTCTACCCTTACTAGTGGATGATGTTAGGCAACTTGTCCATGCCTTGGTGTCCTTGTCTTTAAAATGGAGAAAACAATAATAACTGCTTCATAGAGTTGTTGAGAGCACATAATAGGTACGGTGTAAGTGAAAGCTATTACTGTTGATTGGAGTATTGCTCCCTTCCACTCCCACTCTGGCAAGAGCCCACTAGTGGCCTTTTAGGAACTCTAGGGTAGCTTAAAGTAAGTAATACTACTGGGTGAGCAGAATTACAGATTTTGGGGGCCATGTGATGTGCTAGGCCAAGCCCGACTCAGGAAAATATACCAAAATACAAATACAAAATACAGTCAGACCTTCCCCAATTCTCCTTATCCCTTTCCCCACCTGACCTGATGGGAAGTGCTACAGTATAGAGAAAAAAAGATAATCTGATGACAAACAACACACTCCTTGGGGCTCAATCTGAAATCATTTAGATTTTATATATCAGAAGGGGCAACTCAACATTGTTCTTTTTCTTGCCTTTGTTTATAAGGTAACTGACCCAGTGTAAAAATATCTTTATGCCTTGACAAAGATATTCTGCCTCAGTTAGCAGGGTTTCAAAAAAATAAATCTCTGTGCTTGAGTAGTCAGATAAAGCCATTTTAGAGTTAGTGTTCAGCACTTTGCAGTGAATTGGGGAGGGATTAAATCTATTTCAATGTTAGACTTCCATATGATTTTTATTTCTTAACACTTAGTATAGCTGTCCAAGACCCAACTAATTTCATTTTGTTTACAGTCAGTTTACCGATGATGTCTATATGGAAATACAAGATTGGGGAATGATTTTTTGTGACCATAAGCATCTCTCCATGTCTGCCTAAACTCCAAAGTTTTCTGCGACTTCATTTCATCCTAATTCTATTTGACTTTCAAAATCATTTAATTTATTATAGCTGTTATTCTGGTATGAAATAATTATGTTCAGCTGACCAGTTTTTTGTATTTATATTGTGTTAGATTGGAACAGACTGTATCATAATTGTAAGAGCTGTAACTTAATGGATGTTTATGTACTGCATTGTATATATTTTTAATATTTCATTTAATCCTCATAATGAACCTATGGGTGGTATTTTTTTCATTTTATGTAAAAGGAACCTGAGACACAAATGTAATTATGCCCACGGTTGTATAGATAGATCTAAATGGTGGATGCTTGTGATTCTGACTTACACATTATCACAGCAAGAACCCATATTTTATATATGCCATTAAACTGCCTCATATAGTGCAGTTACTACACAGATTTTTTTAAAAGTGTAAGTTCTGTATAAATTCCTCTAAATCTAGAATATTGATAAAATAGTTTGTGCTTCAGAATTTATTGGGTAATTTGTTTACTATCTTATTTAATCCTTAAACTATAATGTGCGAGGGTGGATATTTTCTTTTTACAGATGGTAAAACAGATTTACAATTTTTAAAAATTAGTGTAGCGAGTAGTAGATTGGAGATTTTAATCTAGGGATTTTGACTCTGTTGTGTAGTGATGACTATTATTTTCATTATTGATAAGAGTTAAGATATTTATTTGTATCTCTGGGAGCCCATTTTTATTTGTCCCAGAGTGTACAGTTTTATTAGTTATCCTCAATTCCAGTAAATAGGCTTTTCAGTTGCTACTTATGGACTATTTTTGTTATGTGTTTACATTTTTTCTTCCTTCCTTCCTTTTTAATTAAAAAAAAAAAAAAAATTCCCACAGCACTTTATGGAGACTTTTCCCTAAAATATTTAACTTTTATTTTTCCAGGTTTTAGTACTATATTGAACTCTGATTCACAAACTATATACTAGGTTGAGTCTTGTCCATTTGCTAAGATCATGTTAGAACAGAGTTTCTCAACCTCAGCACTATTGATATTTGGGGCTGGGTGGTGTTGTGGGGCAAGGCACGGGGGCTGTCTTGTGCATTGTAAGATGTTTAGCAGCATCCCTTTTTCTCTACTCACTAGATGCTAGTAATACCCACCTCCCCCAGTTGTGACAACCAAAAATGTCTCTGGACATAGCCAAATGTCCCCTGGGAAGTAAGATGTCTCCAGTTGAGAATCACTGGGAATGGTTCCCAGTTCTTAAAACAAATAAAGATAATATGTCACATTTTCTTAAATTTTGGCCTAGTCTTTTGTATAGGTTTTAAAATCTTTCATACTTTTTATTTTTTTGAGAATACTATAAACGAGCAAGTAGCCAATAAAATGAGTTGGGAACTGCCAGTCCTTGAAATGTACTTGTTTCTTTTAAGTAAAACTATTTCTGTCTTGTTATGATGAAATCAAATTTATTGGAATTTAAATGTAGAGATCAACATAACTTTGGTTTGGTCTGTTTTAATACCTAGTTTGCATCTTATTAATGGGTGTTGTCTCTAACTAACTCAGACATAGGAGGTTGAATTGGAACATTTGAGGATGACATTTGTTGGAACAGTTAAGAATATGCAATCTGAAATATTGACAATAAGAAAATATGTACTTAAAAGTTGGACTAATTCAAGTTTATTTTCTACCAGTGTAAAAATCTTCTTCATTTTAGACATTAAAAGAAATCACATTTATACTCTTTGAGATTAAATAATTATATACACAATCTAAAGAATGCCCAGAATAAGAGCTGCTTATTTTAATAGAATAAGTTAAGTGATTATTGCCTCTTAATACGAAAAATGTTAAGCAGGCATGAATAACTAGAACCAGAAATTACCCATCTTCCGGTTTCTTAGGAAGAAGTATCTGTTCTAGTTTTAGTTTTTAATGTGGTTGTAAAATGTAGTTAGGGAATAAAAACACCCCAAATAAAGAGACTTCTTCAATGTATGGCCATGTTAAAACGTAACAAGGAATCCCTTAGTCAACTTCAGGTCATAGCAAATACATTTTGTAGCTTTCCGCCAAAAGGGATTAAAGCATCTTCTTGCCTTAAATAATTTAACTCCTGAGTTGAACAACTGATGTAAATGCTTTATTGCTTATTTGAAATATGGCAGTAAGTTAGAAATTAGATACTTTAAAAAGCATTACCGATAACTTGAATTTTTGGAATAAGAATAATTGGAATTCTGGGAATGTATGTGGTTTGGGGATTGGGGAGCCAAAGGATGGAAGCTGCATTGGTATATGTGTTTCTGTCTCTCACTGAACTTCTTTGATATCCCAGTAATATCTTATATTCAGTGGGAACATAATAAGTATTTGTTGGATGCTTCTGGATATACTTGGAATGGGAGCGTTAATTGTTTTGTAGTAATATATCATTTTATCGTCAGCATTTCAGGATTAAATTTTTGTGTGATTACTATAAGTGTGTTTATGTGGGCCAAATCTCTAAACAGCTGGAAGATTTGTGTTGCTTTATGCAAATAGATATTTTCCAAAGGTAGGCTGTTTTTTGTTAGCTTTAGAAGGGGTTGGAAAAGAAAAAGACCAATAACAAATGAAACACAATCGCTTTTCTTGACCAGGACTTTTTTTATGAAGACATGGAATCTTTGACTCAGATGCTTAGGGCTTTGGCTACAGATGGAAATAAACACCGGGCCAAAGTGGACAAGAGAAAGCAGCGTTCAGTTTTCAGAGATGTCCTGAGGGCGGTGGAGGTAGGTAGGCCTCTTAAATGCTGTAGTAGCTGCTCATTTTGAAATTGGATTGCTCCAAGCTAAACTCGACAGTTGGGTCATTTTGTTGATTGAATTTTACCTTTGATCAAATTAATTTCCTCACTTTAAGATAGCAGGTTTTAAACAACATAAGTGAAGCCTTCTTTTTTCTTTTTTTTTTTTTAAACAAAGAAAAATTTAATGCTGATGTATAAAAGTACTTTTATTTAGGTTTCAAAAAAAATAAAAAGATCCATAGTGATAGAAATGTAGTTTACATTGGTATACCTGACATGATTTAGGCAGTGGTGTTTATTTAGCACTTATGTGCAAGGCTACTTAGAATCATTATCTGATGCTTAGACTTCTATGGTTCTCTAACCCGCTTCAGTCTATATGGCAAATAAATTGATTTAGAAACCTTCAAGGCTTAGAATACATGGCTTAAAATGTATAAGGGCAGTCTCACTGTGGAGCATTCTGAAGTCTTTCACAATTTGTTTTGGTTGGCTTAGGTAGGAAATATTTCTTGGATTTAAAGGGTAAAGATCCTTTGGGGTTTTGGTTAATGCTGACTCTGATTGCATTATAGTAATATTTTGTATTGACTCTGGGGTTTCTAATCTTAAAAAAAGAAAAACAAAATCCCTTAATTTGAGCAGACATCAGTATTAAGAATTTAAATTTGTCTTATAATTAGTGTGGCAGTATCGCTAAATTAAGCAAGCCATTTTCTTTGAGTACCTATAAACTATTCCTATATTTAGATTTTCTAGATACTGTAGCCTCCAAGGATAAGATGATGACATGTCCTAGATTTTCTGGATTGGACCTGATTTTACATTTTTTGTTTTGACACATCCCCTGTGAGTAGTAGATCGTAAGGGTCATCGGGACCTGATAGGTTCTGTTGACAAAGCCCCTCAGCACTGATTATCCTGAGGAAGACTCAAGTGAAATCTCGACATACACCAGCATTAACAGTCCTCTTGTCCTTGTACTCCTTGGGCACTGCTAAAAATGGAAGCCGCTCCGATTGTATATGGATTTACCCTTTCAAGCCTTACTTACCTACCCTCTCCTCTTCATCTCAAGAATAAAGTCGCTCCCTGCTCTTCCACTGGGTTCCCTCTTCCTCCAGCCTGTGTTTTAATGCACCTGCCAAAGAAAAGCCTATCCTCAGAGCCTTGCTAAATAGTTCTTGTCTCTCCCTTTTTCACTGGAACCTAGCTTTCTCTGGAGGAAAAAGCTAGGTCCTCCTTCCTTGATGGATCTTCTAGACAAAGGTTGCTCAAGTGCCACAGAGGAGAATCATACATCTGAGAGGTGGTAGTGGCTGCCACACCATTTCTTTTCATCCAAAACCTTTCTTGAAGTTCACATATGTCTTAAATCAGCAAGCATTTAATATGTTAGATGCTTTGCCGTAGGGTTTTCTTTTTTTAGTTTCATTATAGCTCTTCAGCAGTAGAATTATCTCCTTTTTAAGAAAGAATGGGGACCAAAGGAGTAAAGAACAGTAAATAGCAAAGCTGAAATTTGAACCCACTGTACTGTGCTCATCCAGCAGAGCCAAAAGCTGCAGGTAGGTCAAGTGAGAGAAGGGTGGAAAGTTACAGTTGGATCTATCAATTCGGTCATTGGTGACCTTTGTAAGAGCAGATTCAGTGGTGTGATGAGAGAAAAGCCAGGCTGAAGTGGACTGAAACATGAATGGGAAATGAATAAGTGGAGATGGTGTTTTTTGACTATTCTTTTAAAAAGCATGGTTGTAATGGGAAGGAAAAGAGAGTTGATACCTGGAGTGTAGTGCTCGATTGTAGCAGTGTTTGTTTTGTTTTCTTTTAGATGCTAGAGACAGTTTATGGGGGAGGAACCAATGGAGAAAGGAGCATTTGAAAATATAAGTGAAAGGTTGGGATTAGCCTTGAATTGGAGGGGGGAGCGTTGCCTATCTGTTACATACAGGAGGGAGGAATACGTAAGCATGCAGATGAGTTTATGGAAGATGGATGAGAAGCAGAGCTCTTTCCTGGAGTCTGGGTGTTTTCTGAAATAAAGGGTGAAAATAGAACACTACTGTTTTTCTGAGCTGCTGTTACACATCAGGCAATCACTGTATATTTCTCTTTCTTCTGATAACCTCTAATACCTCTTACGATACCATAAGGTATCGATAGCTCCATTCTATAGGCAAGAGAACAGACTCAAAGAGGTTAAGTTTCTTGCTGAAATCACAAGCCAGTGAGTGGCACATCCATGTAAGTCTGGAGCTCACGTTTTCTTCCACCACATTATCTACTGTCTGCTGAGAGATAAGGGGGCTGGGTAGGTGTGGGGTAGACGGTTGGAGTGGTTGCCCCTTCAAGTTCCATCACCTTCTTCTGTCCCTGTGGCGGTCAGCTACTCCTTTCTTGGTTACCCTTACATGTTCACGATTCATCAAAGAATTAAGCAGCCAGTTTTGTTCTTTCTGAGTTCTACCAGCATTCTGGGTGACAACTTTATCCGTTTGGAAAACCCTATCCTGTGTTTGTTCCAGATTGTTAACTTCCATTTCACTTGGGACACACTCCCATGGTTACACCTTAGAGATGGTTTTCTGGCAGAATTACTTCATTGCTGAAATCTTAAATTCAGGTGTTACCTTTCATTTTCTTAATAAATCTAGCCGAGCTAGTTGCTGGACCTCTCCTTATTCCTTGGTCTCTTGACCCCATTTATCTTCATCCCTGCTGCCCATCACTTCACCCACTGTCTTGTGGTGCTGTTTTGTCTTTCTGACTGTTCTGCAACTTCTTCCCCTCTGCCATTCTAGAGGAATACAAACATCTGACACTTTTTTCAGGTTTCTTGAATGCTATTGAAATTTTAAAATGTTGACAACAATGTGGTTTTGCCATTAATATTTACTCAAACTCAGTTGTGCCTTCAAGTCTACCACAACTAGACAAATTTTACACCCTTACATATAGGATGTCCACATCTCAGGTATGGAAGTATTAGATTAAACTATATCATTCATTTATCTCAATATGTGTTTGTCTGTTTAGAAATTGTGTTTATGTAAGATCTTGTTGGCCCATATTAGTGCCTGTGATAATTTTAGTTCTTCTATTGGCTAGGAACGGGATTTCCCAACAGAAACTGTTAAATTTGGTCCTGAACGAATGTATATTGATTGTTGGGTCAAAAAACACACCTATGACACCTTTAAGGAGGTTCTTGGATCAGGGATGCAGTACCACTTGCAGGTGAGTGACATCTTTTCTACCTGTCTGCTTTTAAATTAGTGAACAATCTTGAGAGTAGCTCATTCAATTGGCTTTTGAAGTTAATTGAATATACAGAATGCTTCCACATGTTAGAAAACAGCGAATTTATTTTTGAAAGTAAAATTGAAATTGCTTTTTTTTTTTAATAGTTTAAGTCTGGGGAACATTATTGATGTCTTTGTATGGAAGCAAATAGCTTGACATAGCTTTCTTGGATTCATGGGATTGGAAAACAATTTCTTCTCCTACTGAGAAACAGAAAATAGTTGACCTAAATTCATATTTATAGGTTCTACATAACTTTTGTTAATCAGATTCACTCTATATACTGAAAAAGAGCTATGATATTTAATTAATACTGAGTCTCATCGCCTTTTTCTTTCATATAAGTCAAATGAATTCCTTCGCAATGTATTTGAACTGGGACCCCCGGTGATGCTTGATGCTGCAATGCTTAAAACGATGAAGATTTCTCGTTTTGAAAGGGTAGGTTTTGTTTTAGTTTTTAATAGAACTAAATGCACCAAAGAAAAGTGGAGCCAAAGCCTTGATTCTGCCTCAGGAACTTAGCTGTGTCTACCTATATGGGAAGTTTTAGTTTTTCATGATGTTTCACACAGAATAGCTGTACTAAAGGTGTAGAAACTTCACTGAATTTAGAGTGTGGGGGGCCTTAGTAAAAAGTTTTTACCCTTCACTTTGCTATCTTAACATAGAAATTATTTTTAGTTTTTGTTTCTTTTTATTCTATGGAGTTTTTATATTTAAGAATAAGTATTTAGACAGTGCTTCTTTTGTACCAGATAATAGCCTACTTAGTGAAGTACCAGACTCATTTTACAAAAGAGGAAACTGCTCAGAGAGTTCATAACATGAATTGGTAATTAATATCATCATCTGTTAACCTTTCAAAAATCCTTAATTATAATTTTTATTTTCTAATTGAGGTGAAATTCACATAACATAAACTGTTCAGTGGCATTTATTATGTTCACGGTGTTGTGCAACCATTACCTCTGTCTAGTTCCAAAACATTTTCATTGCCTTGATTACTCATTGGTGGTCCATTCCCCATCTGCCCCTGTCCTAGTCACTGGCAGCCACCGATCTGTTCTCTCTCTGTGTTGATTTACCTATTCTGGATATTTCATATAAATGGAATCATATAGCATGTGACCTTTTTTGTCTGACTTTTTTCACTTAGCATAATGTTGTCAAGGTTCATCCATATTGTACCATGTATCATAACTTCTTTTTTGTGGCTGAATAATACTCCATTGTATGGCTATATCATGTTTGTTTATCCATTTATTAGCTGATGTGTATCTGGGCTGTTTCCATTTTTTGGTCATTGTGAATAGTGCTGCTCTGAACATGCACATACAAGTTTTTGTTCGAATGTCTCTTTTCTGTTTTGAGGTGTATATACCTAGAGTGGAATTGCTGGGTCATATAGTAGTTCTATGTTTAACTTTTTGAGGAACTGCTAAACTGTTCTCCATAGCTGTTGCACCATTTAACATTTTCACCAGTATATTCTGATTTTTCTGTAAACTCACCAACACTTGTTATTGTTGGGGTTTTTTGTATGGTTTTTTTTTTGGTGGCTGCTTTTTTGTTTTTAATTATAACCATCCTAATGGGTGTGAAGTGCTTAATTTTATTTTTATAGAGCCTTTGTATTTAATAAGTTTTATGACCACATAATTGATTTTTGGATATTTTAAAACTTTTTAATAAAACTATTTTTACATACTTTTCTCTTTTGAATTATATCTTTGAAGAAATCCTCTGTACAGAAATGCAGGGTCCAATTATGACTTCTGTGTGTTGCCTAATTACTTTCCAAAGTTATTTGGTCATTTTTAATTGTCTCCAGTAATGAATGAAGGCATGTAGCTATTACACAAAGATTTGTCAACATTGGGTTTTATAATTTAAAAATTTTGTTAGTTGGTATTTAAACACCACCTCATCACTTTTTCCTTTGTTACTTTAATTGACAGCCTGGTAGGACTTTTCACACTAGTCATGATTTGTCTTTTCCTAGATCGGATTAAATGTTGATGTCCTTTTTTCACTTTTTTTGTTGGACTTTTCTTGGTATTTTTCATATTTGATTAATAATTTTCTTAATATGGAATAGCCATTACCTCTATTGTATAGGTTAATTTTCTCCCGCATTCTTTATGTGTGTGTGTTTTATAAACATTTAAAATATTTATAGGGTCAAATTAGTTCATGTCTTTCCTTTGTGATTTTTATCTTTTTTTTTTTCCATTTTATAAGGATATCTTAAGTCTTACTGATCCACATGTATTTTCTTTTTCTTTGTTTCAGCATTTATATAACTCTGCAGCCTTCAAAGCTCGAACAAAAGCTCGAAGCAAATGTAGAGATAAGAGAGCAGATGTTGGAGAATTCTTCTAGATTTTCAGAACTTGAAGACTATTTTCTAATTTCTTTTTCTTTTTTTATTTCTTTCTCTTTTTTTGGCTACTTTTAATGTATTTAAACTCTAGAAACAGTTTTTATCTTGGATCAGCTTAGATAACTTTTGTAGGGGGAGTTATATTACTTATAATTTAATGTACAGTATTGCAAATGGTGAGTTCTGATTATTGATTGTAAATATAATTCAGTAAACATGAAGAAAGTATTTGTAATGTTTGGTCATATTCTATTTATGAAGAGAGCAAAAATATGGTATTGATTTCATAATGAGAAAAATTATTAGCTGAGGTTTAATTTCTTATACTGTGGTTGTCAAAAATACTGATTGATTATAATGATATATACTCATAAGGTATTTAACTTAATATCTTAGACAAGAGTTCTGGATACAGTTTTTGGGAGCTAGTTCCTCTGGAAAAGCTGCTATATTTTTAATTTTAAATGGAATGTGGCTTTTAAAATTTTGTCACTGGGATCAAAAAAGGAATTACACCATGAGACCTTACAACCACACTTAAAAAGGCCATTCAGTTCAGCTACTGGGAGTTTATGATGAGTTAGCATATGCTAGAAAGGTTGCTAACCTTAACTTCTGAGAGCAAGAACATGGATTCTGTCTGCTGTATGAGACTGTGCTTTTTACTTTGAAATAAAGATCTTTTCACACTGAAAGTGCTTCTTTTCTAATAGAAGAAACATTATTTATGGCTTTGAGTAGAGTTCAAAATGACAAACCCAGGTAGGGAGGGAGACAAAGATTTATTTGTGTATTTTATTTATGTAATTTTATTTATTTATTTTTAAATTTTTATTGAATCATTGATTATACGTATTTTGGGAGATCAACGTTGACATATGTTGATCAAATCAATATTACTAGTATGTATATTGTTATAAATCATACTTATTCTTTATGCCCCTTGTCCAATCTCTCCCCATTCCCCTCTCTTGCCTCCCTCCCCACTCTGACAACCCTAGATTTTTCTCTCCTTCTGAAAGAGTAATGGTTACTCTGTTGATTAGTTGCCTAGATGATCTGTCCAATGCTGAGACGTGTGATCAGGTCCCCCAATATTATAGAGCAGATGCTGCTTCTGTCACTCTGGAATGGGCTTTGTGGAGAGAGACATCCTCTTCTTTTCTTTGGTCTCTGCTGGTGACTTTCCTTGTGTCAATGCACTCCACTGGCTGGTGGACCATCTGCATGGTAGCTGTGATGTCTAGCCATTTCCGCAGCAGCTGTGGGGCTGTGGTGGGCTACCCACATGGAGGTGATGTTTTAGGCATGCTCCTTGGTGCTGGCGATGTGCCTGGTTGGGGGGGGGGGCCTGGTCCCTGCCTCTATGCCTCAGGACCCTGGTTGGGCCCCGAGGCTCTCGCAGTGTGCCTGGTTTTTGGGGGGGCGGGGAGGTCCAGCATTCGGCTCCATGCTTCAGGTCCCCTGGTGGGCCCTGAGGTGGTGGTGGTATGCCTGGGCCAGAGCTAATTTTTTTTCCTTTGCTTCTAAAATGGAAGTTCCTGTGTGAACCAGTACTTGTGCTGTGTGGTTGAGCTAAATTGCTGCTTTGCTGCTGTTTCCCTAGGAAGGGTTTTTTGTGAAGCTCAGGGTTTAATGGTTGACCTTATAGGTATTTCCAGCTCTCCAGAGACCCGATGCACCTGGGTTGTGCAGAGACTGTGATCTGGGCCTGAGACTTTTTATCAAACTGTACCCCATGCAATTCTATGTACCTGACCAGTTTCCTCTGAGTGGTCCTGTGCTGATTGGGGAGCAGATTGGCTGTCCTTGCTGTGCCCCAGTGTTCTCCCAGTGGGCCCATCTCCCCCACTGCCTGTGCTAGAAACACTTCTCGTGGGACAGGCCATGCACTAGTCCCCTGCAATGACTCACCAGCTTCTGAATGGCTCCTTTTTTTCAGTTGTTCTGGCTCCTCACTCCTGTGTCCATCCACAGGAACCCTACTAGTGGTCTTGCTGTCTCCAGGGCCACCAAGCCCCTCTTCTCCACTGCCACCTCCAAGCAACTCCATCCAAAGGGCACAGCTGTGGCTTTTGCTGGCTCCTGCTCTGCATGCTCAGCAGCTCCAGCCTTAAAGCAGCTGGGGTTTGAAATGCTCCAAGAAGTTTTTTCTTGCTCTCATCGTGGCATCTCCCCCTTCATGAACTCCGTAGATCTCTCCTCCTCTTCCCCTGAGCTCTAGCGGCCCCAGCTTGGCTGTTGTTGCTTTTCTTATAGTTGTAAATTGGTTGATTTGTGGGAGAGAGTGACACTGGGGATTGTCTATTCTTCCATCTTGACTGGAAGCCCTATTTGTATATTTGAAACCATTAGAATAGGTGACAAAAATGTAGTAGTATATCATTGGGATTCAAGTTACTGATTTTTAAGAAAATTTCTGCTTACTTGCCCCTATGAGGTGTTTTTTCATTTTTATGAAAAGTATTTTGTCAATGCATTAAAATTTAGTTATTAAACTTAGATTAAAATTATATAATGCAAGCAACATGTGCAGTTTAGAATTCATAGATTTGTGTCTTTGATATTCTGGCTGCAGAAAACAGTGAGGGGTGGGGAAGTACCAAAATCACTTAAGGCATTTTTTCCAAATTAATGCTCTTCCTCTCCCATGTTCCCAACAAATCCTGGAAGGCCTGGGTACCCTCTAGGTGACAGTCATTGGTTGGCTTATGGAGTCACTTGGCCAAGTTGCATCCCTCAGATGCAATGCGATAGCAAACAGATTTGTAATCTGGAACTTGGATTTGTGTGTCGTTGTCACTTCCTTATGTTCCCAGTAGGTTAGAAGTGTGGAAAAGAGGTTGCAGATAGTAGTTTTTTCTAAATTTTCAATTTCATATATGTGTATATATTTTTAAATAAAAATGAATTTTTATTGAAGCATTATACGTAGTTTAATAGTACTTCAAGGCTTATAGGTAAGAAAGCCTTAAACCTTCCTTTCCTCAGTTCCAGGAGGCGTTCAGGCTTTTCAGTTTTTTCTAACACCTTTCTAAATAATATGCTTATACAGCTATTTTTTAGTTCATTAGTTTTAGATGTTTGTTAACTTCCTATTATGACAGGTGAAGATTTCTTTTTTCCTTTTCTATCGTAACATTTTTTGTTTTGTTAAATCAGCATTATTGTTTGCATTACTTTGATCGTATTTATATGTTCACTCCTGAGCTAGTTTACTGTGCTTTACATGTTTGTTCTCATATAATACTTTGTCCTAAAATTTAATAATCGTCTTGCTTTTTGGGTTTATATGCACATCACTAAATCTTCCCGAACAGTCCTAAATAAATTAGTAAAACTTCTTGATTCTATACTTGGTTCAGTGTAGACAAGTTTCTCTCTCGTCTAAGCGTATAGCTGTTTTCCTGAGACATCACTATCATCCTGGAGATTTATTTTCTCTTGAGTTGGATCTCATGTTTTCTGCACTTTGTTATTAGGTCTTCATTATAAGGTTGCTTCCTTGGTAAAGTGGAGTGCTTCCTTCAGTAGTTTCTGGGGCATGAGAGGTCAATTGTTTTGAAACAGTATTTCTGAAAACTAGATTGCTTGGTATATGAAGTTCAATGTAGAAAATCAAATTTGGAATTAAAAAAATTAAGTGATAACTAATTCAAATTTGGAAATTTGAAGGCATTGCTCTATTGTGTCTTCTAATTAGCAAAATGTTGAGATATGTGATGCGATTTTTATTTCTTTTTTTTTCTCTTAGAATCTCGTTAGTGTTCTAAAATTGCATGATAATGTGCTCTGGTGGGCTTGGCAATCTGGAAGATATTTTTAAGTTCTTGATTTCTTCCCCTTCCCCCACCATTTTTTTTGTTCTGGAACTCCATGAGATACTGGAGCTCCTGAATCGAGACTCAGGCCTACTTATTAATTTTTTTTATTCATTTTTGTTCAGGGAGATTTCTTTAATGCAATTTTCCAATCTTTCTGTTGCATTTTACTTTTGGCTAATGTTAAATTACCTGGCTGTATTTAGCTCCACGCTTCCTCTTGCCTGCAAATGCTAGGCCTGCCTGAATTCTGCAGGGTCAATCATCTCACTCATCAGTGGTGGTCTTACAAGACAGGTATCACTTCCTCTCCTTCCCCTGGTCAATATATTTGTTGAGCTCTTTTCATTATTGTTTGCTCCTTTTTTCATTCTTATGGTTTTGTACTTTTTATTCCTGTTCTGCCTTTTACTGGGGTTTTGGGAGGAAGAGGAGATAATGTTAATCTGCATACTCAATTTGTAGATGAGTGGCTTTTTATTCATGAAATTTATGCGTTATTGCTAGGCAAGGATTTTTGGGGACTCAATGTATGAGTTTTTTTGAGAGTAGTAAAATGCTCTGTGATGCACAGTTGTTCATTGCTTGATTCCTGTTTAATCTTGCTGGTTTGAAGGAATTTGATATGGTCCCTACCCAATTTATTTTGAGGTCCAAGCATTAATTCTGAAGCAACATCTGTTACTCAGGTTTTTGAAAACATTTACTGAATTTCTTGGGAGTTGAAAGAAAACGCGAGAAATACTTGAAAATCCCCCCAGATTAAACAATTAATGTGAGAATATCTATTTTTATCTTGTGATCCAAAACTCTCTTTAATGAGACCTTCCTTTCAGGTACATAATAGATAAAATGAAGTAGGTTATCTTGCTTTGCTCTTAAGTGGTTCTCCAGAAGTCCAACTGGTCTAAAGCCAGTCTTGTCCCCTTCACTGGGGTAAAGTATAGTTGAATTCAGACTTGGATGTGAGGTTTGGGTTCAAATCTCATCTCTGCCACTTGCAACCTATGTATCTTTCAACAGTTAAATTCCTTAGTTTCCAGTTTTCTCTTCCCTTAGGGGAGATTTATACTTGACAAGGTTATAAGGTTACAAGAGAGAAGAAAACCACATAATAAATGGTCAAAAATGAGGCGATAAATTTCTTCAAAGGATAGATGATTTAAGACAGATCAGGTAGTTGGGCATGACATTGTTTTAGACGGGCATGACCAAATAATAACTAATAACTAATGTGAACATTTAAATTTTTCAAATTTGGCATAACTTTTCAGCATATAACATGCTTTTGAGGAAATAGGTACTAGTTGTATAGTCTTCCTCTGTGAGTTGGTCCTAGAATGTAGAGGAGGTTTAAGATAGTGGCATTCCTTTTTCTCAGAAGTAGAGTGAGGTCCGTACAGAATACAGGCATAAAGTAAATTTTGTGGAGCATACGTTTTCTAACGTGAAAAAATATTTTAAGGATGAATGAAGTCCATCTAGTTATGGCAATGGAAGATAGGATTGTAAAGGACTGCATGTCTGCTTATAACCTAACCTTGAGTATCCTGCTGGGGTAGTCCCTGGGATCTGGGGCTTGTGGGATCCAGATCTCCTGGTCACTGTAGCATCTTTTATGTACACCAGAGGGCAGAAGCTCCTTGGCATGTGTGTGAGGGAACCATATAAGCTGACATTCCTGAGAAAGGAGGATGTATGAAAACTCCTGAATAAAGCTTTTGAAGAGGAAAGGAAGTTAATGAGATGAAGAGCTTTCTTCACCTGCTATGGGCCTGTAGCCATCCCATCTCCAACTCACAATTACTTTTTTGTAGCTACTGGAAGCCCTAGGAGTTCTCCGACCTTCCATCATCCTAGTTATGATGTCACAA